AGGAATGAGAAGGTGGCAGGGCAGGCAGGAGGGAAGAGCAAGAAGGAGAGGAGGTGAGAGGGGGACTAGTACCCATAGACTAAGAGGAAAACAAGAGATGGCCAAATAATAACTCATCAATTAAGCAGTTAGCTGCTCCTTCACAGGTGCTCTTTCCCCCTCAGCACAGGGGCTTCAAGTGAGCTGTGTTGTCTGGCTAGATTTGCCACCGCCTCCCCGCACTGCCCGGCTGTCAAAGGGTCCCAGAAGTGGGTCCCAGCAGCTGCTGTATTATCAGTTAATTGTTTAACCGATATAATTAGAGAAGGTTAAACGAATATTTTTTTAATGATATTTACATCCCTATTCCCCCATACATCAAATAAGGAAAAATACTAACCTTCAGCTTGAGAGGCTGGTGATCTTGCCCACTTCTTAATGCAGTTCAGATGGAACACATGATAACAATTTTGACAACTCCACACTGGGGCTATTATTCGAACCACCTCACAGCATACCATGCACTCATATTTCTCTGTGGTCAACTGCTCTATCAGAGACCCTGTACAGAAATGTGAAACAGCAAACAATGAAGATAATGCAATATAGAAATCAAAGATTAACACACAAATCTGATTCATTTTAAATGCAATTTCAGAATCCCACCCCTTAGTGGATGCATGCACACACAGTTTGGGCTTGTGTGAAAACATGAAAAGATTCCAATACAATCATACTCCATTATTATGTCCATCTTCAGTTCATGCAAAAACAACAATAAGCTCTCACTTGGTTAACATTCTCCCCAATCTTATTTTCTTCAAGATTTTAATCTGGCCAAAGAAGTCTGAGATTTTACAAATCAGGTCAAATGAAATAATAGCTTTACAAAATGTTTATACTGAACTTTAAACATGTAAATCAATATACACATTTCAGTCAAAATGAGGCTGAATTCCTGAGCCCATGCATTATCCATAGGACACTTAAAAAAAAAAAAGTAATGATGCTGAACAGGGAACGTGGAGACTGGGAGGGAACATGACTCTGAACGTGAAGACTGGGAAATAACAGCCTTTCTGGAAAAGTGCAGTTCTTGGACCTCTCTGTGGTAGATCATTGCTCCCTCTGTTCTCTTGTGAAGACAGCACTTTGCGATAAGAAAGACCCAGAAAAAGCTTCAAATGAAGTCCATGTTCAAAAGTTTTCAGAAATCTTAAATCCACAAAAAACAAAGATAATAAGGCTGACAATGCTCTGAAGTCTGGAGCAGTTAAAAATTGTCTGCCTTGTGATTATGATTGTTCTTCCTCTGGTCTGAAAAAGAGAAATTCTGAGTAAATGTTTTCAAGGACTCAAAGACCCTCTTAAGGAGATCTTGCTGCCAAGCTCAAGGCAACAATCAATGCAGAAACAGGATGCAATGATCTAGGATTCTGAGCTCTGGGAAACAGAGCTGAAAAGAACGTAATCCTTAGCATGTGATCAAGTGAAAACAGATGACTGAAGATTGAAAACTATTAGTCCTCAGCTATCCCACCTATAAAAGAAAATAGGACACTTACCTGAATGCAAAGAACCAGTGGGGTTATACACTGTTCTCCTGTAGTAGGTTGCCTATCTAATAGGTTAAGAACCTGCTACTACATGCAAGCTAGTGAATTACTTAACTCAAAATCATAATCCAGACTGCAGTGTTGAATAGATTCCTTCTGTTTAGGTTCTAATGACTGAAGTTAGCACTAAAGGTGGAAAAAATATAAACTCAGTCTTTCAGAAGACCCATTACAGAATCTATTCAGGGCAGAATGCATTATAGAATCAATGCTTGATCTATTTTTGGACCACTATCACTAAATCATTTTACTTGGCAATTCAAAATAGCATCTACTTTTTTCCAATTTCCAATCTTATTTTTTTTGGTACCATGTACTAGATTTCAGCAAGTGAAGTCCAGTAAAAAAAGCTGTATTTGATTGTGACACCCTGTTCTTCCCTCCTGCATGAAGAACTATAGAAAACATTTCCAAATTCAGAAGAAGAGACTGAAAAAAAAAAGTTCAACAAACACTTGTCCAAAACATTTCAAATTTCTGACAAACCTGGTGCCTGATGTGACCTCCATTTTGAAGTCTAATTTAGACAAGATAGAATATTAATCATTACCAAAAACATTGTTTCCAAAATTAAAGTATTATGAAAAATAAGTTGATACAGAAGAGCTGCATTTAAATTTAATCAAGTTGTTATTTACATTTCGGTAAAACTGATCCTGCACAGTGCTGATCACTTTCTTTTAAATAATCACCAGATTTAGAGAATCACAGAAAATTAGGGTTGGAAGGGACCTCAGGAGGTCATCTAGTTCAACCCCCTGTTCAAAGCAGCACCACCCCCAACTAGATCATCCCAACAGAGGCTTTGCCTACCCAGGTTTTAAAAACCTCCAAGGATGAGATTCTACAACCTCTCTGGATAACCTGTTCCAGTGCTTTACTATCTCCTTGTGAGAAAGCTTGGCCTAAGACAGGGGCCGGCAATTATTTTGGGCAGAGGACACTTACTGAGTTTCAGCAAGCCATCAAGTGCCGCATGATAGGCAGCCCAGGGAAGATTAATATTAATTTTTTTAATTTTTTAGGGGCCCCACAGGCTGGATAGAACGGCCTGGCGGGCCGCATCTGGCCCCCAGGCCGCATTTTGTCCACCCCGACCTAAGATCTAACTTAATCTTCCCTTGCTGCAACTTGAGACCATTGCTCCTTCTTGTCACCTGCCACCACTGAGAATAATCTAGCTCTACCCGCTTTGGAACCACCCTTCATGGGGGTTGAAGGTTGCTATTAAATCCGTCCCCCTCCATGTCTTCTCTTCTCCAGCCTAAATAAGCCCAGTTCCCTGAGCCTCTCCTCCACAAGTCATGTGCCCCAGTCCCCTAGTCATTTTTGTTGCCCTCCACTTGACTCTCCCCAACTTGTCCACATCCTTTCTGAAGTGGAGAGCCCAAAACTGGACACGGTATTCCAGACGTGGCCTCAAGCTGCTTAACTAATCAGCTTCAATTATTCAGCATCTTTTAGGACCCAGGCCTTTCATTTGGAAGGCTAAAGCAATCCAGAACACTTACCTGTATGAGTTTCCTTGTTCTTGGGCACATCACTTTGCTTCTTCCAATACTGCATCTTGCTGAAATGAAGAGAGGATACATGTCCCTCCTGTAAGGGGAGCTTTCTTCCACTGCGTTTGACTGAGTCAGTTGGCTGGTGCGTCTGTGTTACGCTGGTTGAGTTGTGATCACCAGTGTGAGATAATTCTTTTTTCCTCTCACTAATTTTATCTCTTGGAGTGTGAGTCACAGAAGACTTCTTTACTTTTACATTTTTGCAACGGTGTGTATCTTGCCTTTTCTGAAGGTCTTTATCTGGCTGGGGTTTATTCCACGTAGACTTCCTAGGATATTTTTTGTTTGCAAACGTGTATCTTTTCTGTTCATCACCACTCCCAGCACATCCATCATAAAATGGTTTTCCAACAGATGCCTCTGAGGAATCAGACTGAGTCAGGTCCAAAGGTGGGACATTTTGAAATGTCATATCCTTCTGTTTAGAGGTCACCCTCCTATCTCGATCATGTGAGTGCTTTGCCTTCTCTCTGTACCCTCTTCCCGACGCATGCATCAAATGTGTTTTCTTTGGCTTTGCTCCTCTGTTATCTGCATTAGGTACCTCTTTGTCACTATCTGAAGAACAAAAGTCATTGTATTCTCTAGGAAGTGTTCTCCTCCCCGGAACCACTGTAGTATCTAAAATTGTTGGGTCTGCTGTGCCATCAGTTGGTGCTTGCCTCACCCGATTTCTAGTATATGTCCTATCACTTCTTGATCTATGCCATCGCTGGTTTTGGAAACTATGATTCTTGTGACTTTTACTGGTACTAGCAAACTGAGGAAAATCTTGTTGGCTCCTACACTGAGTCTCTGGACTATAAAAGTCCTGTTGCTTTGTAGAAGAGCTTTCATAATCAGTGCCTCTATCAGAAGATTGACTTGGAGATGGTAAATTATTTCTGTTCCGGTTCCTGTTAGATTCCAGTCTACCTTGATTTCTCCAATTTCGATCAGAAGTCTGTCTCTCTCTTGGAATGAAGTCAGCTGCTTCTGGATTGAAATGCAAAGTACCTAGAAAGTATAAAATAAAATGAGACAGAGTTGTTTAAAACATTTAAGCATTTTTCCTGTGATGTACCATAAAAAAATTTACTATACACACAATGGGCTGAACAGGGCAGCTGCTTTACATACTAGACTCCATGAATAGGACTAATATCCAGAAATTAGGTTTTAAATAAGACAGCATGCGTGTGCATTTATTCTAATTTCTTCAGTACAGGAAAACTGTGCTAATAAATTTAGGGTTGCCTGCTATATCTTGCACCCATAAAAATGTCAAGTTTACCAATATCTGAATTTTTCAAAACCTGGAAAGGGAGAGTTAAAGCATTCACATTTGTAACCTTAACTCTGCCTCTGGCTTTGGCAATAGCCATTGAAAATCGTCTCCAGGCAATCCAGCTGCATTTACTATATTAGGCATAACTGTTCAGCCTGGCAGAGCTGTGGTTCAGATGATGCATTCAGGGAAATCACACCCATGATCCTGGAAGGATGTAGGCTAGTAAAGACTGTCCCTCTCTGCCTGACCCTCATGCGTGAAATGAAAGGAAAGAGGTGCATGTATACCTTGAGAAACATAGTATACCTCATTTCAGTGGTGCACTGCGTATGCTGTTAGCACAAACTTATCTAATTAAATCCATGCCTTCTCCAGTCCAAGTGACAAGAAAACCCCTGTACCTTGATTCCATCTGGCATTGTGAGAAGATCTGTGAAATCTGAGAAAAGCAATGTTCCTTCTGCAAAATGGGCAAAATGCTTGATTGTAAAGAAGGTTCCTTCTTACGCAGTACAATTCAAATGTATAAATACCGCTTTGCTTGACATTCAGTAATGGCACACTATACCAAGACAACTTAAATTTTGTATTTTGTTACTGAACATCCTAGGGATTTTTAATGGAAAAAAAGATTCCGTATAACTAGAGTTCTTCAAGATGTTGCCCATATCCATGTCCTCACGATGGCCACACATGCACCTCAAGCTTGGAAACTTTTGCCTTGGAAGTACCCATGCCATGTACCCTGGTGCTATGCTTCCTTGTGCTCCATGTTGAGGGTATAAAAGGCAGTACAGGCTTCTGGCGCTCCTTTCCCCTCACAACCTCAGGCGCTAGATGCAGAGGAAAAGCAAGAAGGTGGAATGCAGCTATAACATGAATACCACACCCTGAAAATCTCCTATACTTCTCTCTCCTTTGAGTGACTATCCATAAGGACATTCACTATGATAAGTACTTCCAGGTATATGGGCACTGCTTTGGATTGTCAAGCAGACAGTGAGTGAAGGTTTGGCTTTACCAAAAGCAAGACTTGCCCACAAGGCTTCTGCAACAACTGTGTCATTGGCAAAGCAGGTAACCAGGCTCCAGCTGTCAAGCCCTGCAGACAGGTGGTTTTGCAAGGAAGCAAACAAGAGTTGCCTGGGTTTGGTGTAACAGGCTCTGACACTGCTGACAATTCCACATTAGTGATGCTATAACTGTTCTGAGGCAATCCAACATCAGATTAGACATTCTTTTCACTTTAGAGTGCTATGCCCTTTAATCCCTTGATTAAGGAGAAAAACAGCCTCAAAGATCTTAAAAGGCTTAGTCCTGTGCAGGTCGAAAGACGAGATTCTGTTGTTGTCAAGCAATGTAACAGTGTCTCAGTTTGCAAGGAACAAAACTTCAGAAAGAACACCAGCAAGTTGAATTGTTTGGTTAAGGTGGAATTTAGTGACCAACTTTGGTAAAAAGTTAGGACAGATCCCCATGTAAGGGGAAGCCACCAGAGGCACCTGGATTTCACACATCCCCTTTCCCAAAGAGATCACTACCTAGAAAGCCATTCTCTTAGAGTAGTGGTCTCCAACCTTTTTAAGTAGGAGATCACCTCTGACATTTAAAAGCAACCCAATATCTACCCTGTGCCGCCCCCCACCCAGCAGGTAAGTCTATGGGGAGAGAAAGGGGGGGGGGGGCAGATCAAGGCAGAGGGAGAAAAAATTATTTGGGGTACACCTGCCCAGCAGGTAAGTCCTACCTGGCCAGGGCCCCAACTCAACTTACCCCTCCTGCCTCTGCGGCATTGTCCCTCACCACGGGGGCCTTGATCTAGCCCCCGTCCCTTCCTTCCCCCACAGACTGACCTACTGGACTGGACTGGGGAAACCCCAGCCTCGGATCAACTCCAAGAGGCTCCAAGATCTACTGGTGGATCGAGATCCACTGGTTGATGACCACTGTCTTAGAGGAAACAGAATTTTGCCAAGGGCTCAATGGGAAGGTACTCCCATGAAGGACTTAAGTACCACTCTCTGGTACTAACAGGGATGAAAGTATCTCCCTGGAGAGAAGATTCAAGTCAGGACTTGAAGAACCTCAGGCCTGCTGTGTGAAAAAACATATGTCAATGTGTGTGTAGTGGAGGTCAGTGGTCCAAGATAAGAGCGCAGACTTATCCATCCATTAAGTTCCAACAGATATTGTAAAATGATCAACATGGAATTTTTTATCATCAGGAGAGTTTAATCTCAAGTGACACCAATTCCTAAATCTGGTCTACTTGGCAAGATAAATATGCCCTTTCTGCTACAGATAAGGTTGTCTCTGGCCTGGAGAGTCAGAGCATGCCTGCTCTACTTCAAGACATATATGGCATCCAGGGTGTTGACACAAGGACAGCAAGTCTGAGTAAAGCCCCCTCTCAGCAAGCAGGCCTGGGGAAAGTAACAGTGACTTGGTTTGTTTACTAGTCCTCCACGCCAACCTGCTAAAAAGCAAGAAGCCTGGGTCTGGCCAAACAGTGATAAATATACATTTTGAAAGAAGAGCTGAAAGAATGACACCTGGCCACTCAGGGGAGAGAAAAGCAAATCTAAGCACCTAAATAAGATGCAATTTTGTACGTGTACCTTCGGACAGCAGGAAGTTACTGGTAGTGTGAGCACATCTTAGAAATAAAGGGGCAACATATGTGAATAGCCAGAATGACAAAGATATTTAGGCCTGCCAAGAGACTATGGCTTTGTCTTCAGTCTTCCCAGGTACAAGGTAGGGAGGCTGCAGTCCCCCAGCCAAGGAGGCTGAGAAAAGCAAGGTGATGGGGAGATGCAGGAAGCCCTGATGGGAAGGGTCAGAGGCAAGGTCTGCATTTACACCTGTGAAGCTGGCTAGAAACCGCAACTTGGATTTAAGGTACAGGATAACAACAGGGCAATGTTATGGTATTTTCTTATATTTACTCTTATTTACTTTTACTCTTCTATGTTCACTGCCCTCCCAGGAAAAAACACAAATGTATAGATGTTCAGGCTTTTTTTTGCCCCGCTTAAAAAATAGTCACTCCAGGAGAAAAATAACCTGGGAACAACCAGGGTTTAATTACTCCCAGGAGAGTTTCTCCTGGGAGAGCAATTGTCTGTACATGCTGTAGCTTGTCTCAGAAGAGAACAATCCTCCAACATTCACCCCTTCCTCCCAGGGAGACAGTATGTCCCTTGCTAGACTGCTGCTCCAGCAGAAAGCAGAACATGCCCCCTTCACATTCCCCAAGTTGTGCTACAGGAAAACGCAGGCAAAGCATGGGCAGTGTGTGTCAGCCAACCAGAGCTGTTGCCAGGTGGACTAAGGGAGCCTGCAAAGCATTTGAGATTCTGCACCCCCCTCCCGCTCCCCCTCTGGTTGCACAGTATCAGTACTGCAAGCTCTTCATTCTTCAGAGCCTCAGCACTCAAATGATTATCTATGTGGCTCTGGGTAAATTTCTCTACTAGGAGAGCAAACCTGGGAGAATTCTCCCAGATTATTTGAATGTGGGTATGCTGCCTCCATCTGAATGCCAACATATGGTTACTGGTTTCTTATGTTTGTTCTGTTCTTATAATAAATCTTTCTGTTGTTTGTCTCCTTACTGATTGCTTAAGAGTGATTTTTGGGCAGGTGATATTCCAGGCTGACTGTCTCTCTCTCTACCCAGAGTAGGGAAATCAAAACAGCAGTATCTCTCCCAGCAGGGCTTCATGAAGTTTGTAAGCAGAAAGGACAACCCAGAAGCACTCCATCTACAGCAAAATAGGTTGAGAGAACTGAGAAGCAGCTCTTGGCTCAGAGCACCAGAATAGACACAGAAGGGGCAGGGCATGCAATATAGGTATTGCTATGTCAAAAGCTTCTAAGCTGGAGTGCTTGAGCCATATGCACACCCACAATAAAGATGTGCATATGAACAACATTGAAGGAAAAGATATGTTTGTTGTTGAAGTCACCAATCATTTATGTCAGTGATTCTCACCCAGAGTGTGACAGTATTCTGGGGTGCCATGAGATCCTTTTAAGGATGATGTGCAATATTAGCACTAGTAGGTGTGCAAACACATACATATAAGTCACAAAATAAACCCAGAGATTTCAAAAACATTATGACCTTTTGTGGTCTTTGCAATAGAAAAAATGCTCTATTTCATAGATTTCATAGACATTAGGGCTGGAAGGAACCTCAAAAGATCTTCAAGTCCAGCCCCCTGCCCTAGGGGCAGGAAGTCAGCAGGGGTCATAGGATTGCAGCAAGATAAACATCCAAATGTCTCTTGAAGGCGTTCAAAGTAGGTGCCTGAACCACCTCCAGCGGCAGTCTATTCCAAAACTTGGGGGCTCAGACAGTAAAGAAGTTCTTCCTTATGTCCAGCCTGAAAAGGTCATGGAGGAGTTTGTGACTGTTCGATCTTGTCATCCCTTGGGGCGCTCTGGTGAACAGACGTTCCCTCAGATCACCCTTGAGCCTGTGCTTTTCCAGGCTGAAGAGTCCCATAGCTCTCAGCCTCTCAACATAAGGTCTGTTTTCCTGACCTCTGACCATGCATGTGGCTCTCCTCTGGAATATCTCAATCTTCTCCACATCCTTTTTGAATTGTGGAGCCCAAAACTGGACACAGTACTCCAGCTGTGGCCTCACCAAGGCCAAATGTAACAGGAGAATGACATCCTGGGATTTGCTTGAGAAGCATCTATGGATGCAAGCCAG